CATCAGCTCCTGAAAGCCTGATGCAGGCTCTGGAAGACCTCGATTATCTTGCAGCCCTGGATAATGATGGAAACCTCTCTGAATTTGGAATTATTATGTCGGAATTTCCTCTGGATCCACAGCTGTCAAAGTCAATTCTGGCTTCATGTGAATTTGAGTGTGTTGATGAAATGCTCACCATCGCGGCCATGGTAACAGGTAAATCACATCTTACTGCTTGGCTTGTGTCCCCTTCATACAAGCGCAAGCCAAAGACTAACTTCTGTTATTCACATCCTGCTTATTTCAAGTAAATTAATATCTTTGGCTGTTTAAGTCTTGACTTTAAGCATGCATTGAAAAGCAAGTAATGAATTTATATGTAGCACACCATTTCCATGCTCTGGCTGCCCCATTAGCTTCCAGCCATCTGTCAGAAAGCACAACATCCCTTCAAAATGAACCTTCTTATCTCATATTCATGTACATTTGTTACTGACTAGAGCAGCAAATTAGAGGAAGTTCTAATGATGAACACCATTGAACTGTTGACCCACAAAGAATTACTTTGTGATCTTGTTTCTTCACATCAGATATTTTATACAAATAACACAACTTTAAGCATCCGTACCATTCCTTCCTGATGGATCCTGTGCTCTTACACTGTGAGACAAACCAGCTGGCCCCAAAGGCTGCGCACATGAAGTCTGGGTAGGGTTGTTATCTATAGAGCTTTCCATTAGATGTGAGAGAGCTTTCAAACCAACACATAAACCCCAGATATTTATTACTTACTCATTGTGCAAATGCTGCCATTGAAATCTTAATACATCAAAGATGCAGAAAATCAAAGATTTTAGGATAACTGAGAGGACAATGGCTCCAGAAATTCAAACAGCAAATAATGATGGTGACCTCTTGGCATCCCAGCAGACAGTGCAGGACAGCGCAGAATCCCAGCCTGCTTTGTGTTGGAAGGGACCTTAAAGCCCATCCAGCTCCAACCCCTGCCACGGGCAGGGACACCTTCCACTAGAGCAGCTTGCTCCAAGCCCCTGTGTCCAACCTGGCCTTGAACACTGCCAGGGATGGGGCAGCCACAGCTTCTCTGGGCACCCTGTGCCAGCGCCTCAGCACCCTCACAGGGAAGAGCTTCTGCCTAGTATCTAATACCTGAGAGCTGAACTATTGACTGCTCAACACCCACTTAACCTTGCCTGTATTTTGTTATGGCATTACTTTGCTCTACCCACAGGGGATATCCTAGACCCAGAAACCAGTCTTAGGCAGCAAGGACATGAACCTGCAGGGCACCAAGCTGCTTTAGCTGTTTTTATGGAACAACTTGGTTCTATGCCCAAGCTGGCTTGATTTTCAACAGTGGGCCAAAACATGTATAATGTTTTTAAGCACATACAACAAATGTCAATGACTGTGCACGGGCACACCTCGGTTTTCATAAAGCTAAACTATCTTGAAAGACACAATTATGTTGCACAGCACCACATGTAAAATGCACTGAGAGGCACAAATTTCAACACACAGCCCCAAATTAAGGCATTACATCCATAGATTGTTTCTTTCTACATTAAAGAAACCACACGCTTGGATTATGCATAAGTTGGATCACGCCATTATGAAGCATTTTGGCAGGAGAAAGCTGCTCACCTTCATTTGTGTTTAGGGCACAAATTAAGATTGAAAGGACATCCATATAAATAAGACCTTAGTGAATGCAACAGATTCAGCTCTCCATCAGCAATCCTACACTGAAGGTTAAAAGGAACTGAGGAAGCCAAATAAGAATTCCAGTGGAGTTCGTCCTTGTGCATGCACCTATGTGCCTTAATAACCACTGCTTTGATGTTTTTCCTAAGCTCCTCACTGCTTCTTACACACACCTCCTGGAACAGAAGAGATTGCTCTTACTTGTTGGCGAAAGTTCTCCCACCCTGCAGGAGACCACTTTACTCTCATCAACGTCTTCAACGCCTTCAAGGAAGCCAGCACAAACTCCACAAGCCAATGTAAGTGTACCCAGAGCATTCGATGTGAAGCAAGTTGTAAGCAATTTGGAACAAACCCAAAACCTGAGCTGTCATTGTTGGCACTTAGTTCATAGGCCCTCTTTGAATGACTCCATCCAGAATTGCTGACTTGCAGGGAGAAACCAAAGATACAATAAATAGAACAGTTTGGGTTGGAAGGGACCTTAAAGCTCACCCACTTCCAACCCCCTGCCACAGGCAGGGCCACTTTCCACTAGAGCAGGTTGCTCCAAGTCCCATCCAACCTGGCCTAACCAGTACAAAGGAATATTAGTTTCAGGTTTTTAACTAGCTGAAAATGACCTAGGACAGCATACATCACCCAACAAGGATACCTAAACACTATTACAATGGTCATTTGAAGTGACATTGTACAAAACCAGAATGATGGTTCCTCCTGTAACAGCAGATAATCCAGGTTTAAGATGTAAAACAACACAAAGACAGTTGAGGAGGGGCTGGATTCCCCCAGCAGCCACACAGTTCTGGTGGCTTTCTGATAGCCTTCAACTTAAAGTTTAAAGGGCAAAAAAATCAAAGTTCAGATTTACAGGAAACCAAATAGAAGTCAGGAGACAGAAGCTCTTCACAGCATTTCCCTGTGTGCAAGCATCTTGCTCAGGTTCATTTAGCCTAAGCCCAGTAATTAGGCAGAGGAGTGATGAATTTGCCTATACTAAGCAAAAGCTTAAAGGACAGTAGGGTTCCTTCATGTTCAGTCATGTTAAATGCTGGAGAGGTGCAAGAGAACCTGTCTTTTCCCAGCATGCAGGATCATCACTAGCACTATAGGTGCAATTCCAGTTCCATATCCTGAAAGCCTGGAAACACAGCTGCTACTCCTTTTACCCTTTACAGACCAAATAAGAGATGTTGCATAGTTTTATTCAAAGATATAGTTTCAAATCTGTAAACTTAAGGGTATCAAGTACTGCCCCTCACTTCACAACATCAGTGAGCCCAAGCTGTCCATACAGCTCTTGCTACCTTAATATTGACAGCTCTGACACAGCCGCTCTCTGTTTTGATCTATTGCACCAAAGAGCATTTCACAGAGCAGTATCTCTATGGATAGTACCCATCACAAAGACTTTGCTTTAAGCCAAACCTCTTTTTTTCCTCCACAGACTACAGCACTGAGAAATGGTGTCGTGATTATTTTCTAAGCAGCTCTGCCCTGAGGATGGCAGAAATTATCAGAGCTGAACTAGTGGAGATAATGAAGCGAATTGAACTTCCCATCTCAGAACCGGACTTTGGATCCGAAGAAAATATACTCAGCATTAAGAAATCTCTCTTATCTGGTTACTTTATGCACGTAAGGAAAAATGCTGTGGCTTCATCTTACTGCATTGTTATGTTAGACAGAATGCTTTCAGAGAAGTTAAGTTAGGTAATGAAACCTTGCTCAGCAGAAAGGATAAAAGCCATTTTTTCCAGCGTATGAAACACTTGTGCCAATTCCAATCTTCTCTCTGGGGTTCAGCTATCACAGCATGAAGCCCACACACTTCACTGCAAGAGGAAAACTGTCAATATGCCTTTCACTCAAAGAACTATTTTCCTTCAGAAACCTCTTTAACTTGTAATATTCTCTCAGACGTTGAAAGTTGTTGCTGTGAAAATACCCTGGAAAACAAGAACCAACTTAGTATGTTTAGGCACACATAACATACAGCTTTCTTCATCTCAGCCAAAGGAGGTACACTAACTGTAACTGTATACATAAATAAGATTGACTTATTCCCACTTTAAGACATGCTTTCCTTCACATCACTACACTCCACCTAATAAAATGACCCGTGCGACCTACCCTACTACAAGGGCTGCACATTGTATTTTAAAGCCTTCCAATCCTTTAATACATCAGTTTCCCTACAGACCCTTCAAAGCCAAGTTCAGATACTTACTGTATAAGCCTGCCCTCATCTACTGCAGTTTCCTTTCAACTATACAGATGAACAATTTCTTTAACTCCAAGCCTCATTTCATAGTACCCAGATATTTCTTTCCCACAGATATTTGGGAAGAATACTGATATTGAGGCTCTCTAGTTCAAAGTATCTGAACGCAAGTTTAATTCCTGGTTTTAATACAATAGGCAAATACTGATCTATGCATCTTGTACAACCAATGAAGTAATGGACAACTCCTTGCATATTTGGTTTTTAGATTGCTCGTGATGTGGATGGCTCAGGCAACTACTTAATGTTAACACACAGACAAGTGGCCCAGCTTCATCCTTTCTCATCTTATTATAACAGCAGAAAGATTCCAGAGTGGGTTTTGTTCCATGAGTTTAGTATATCAGAAGACAATTCCATCCGAGTAGTCTCCGAGATATCACCTGATCTGTAAGTTAACAATGATGAAACTGTTTCTTCAGCCATACCTCTAGCACAAAAGCACAACTTAAGTCACAAAATTGTTAAAGATATCTGCTGTACATTGAGAACGCTTGGAGCAAGCGGCTCCCTTACCTGTCATAAAAACTACCCAGTCAGAATCCCAGCCTGGTTTGTGTTGGAAGGGCCCTTAAATCTCACCCAGCTCCAGCCCCTGCCACGGGCAGGGACACCTTCCACTAGAGCAGCTTGCTCCAAGCCCCTGTGTCCAACCTGGCCTTGAACACTGCCAGGGATGGGGCAGCCACAGCTTCTCCGGGCACCCTGTGCCAGCGCCTCAACACCCTCAGAGGGAAAAGCTTTTGCCTAAGATCTAATAGCTAAGCTGTCATCACTGGAGGGATGAAGAAATGGTTGCTTTTCACGCTTTTCATATTCCCTAGTGAATATATGTGGGATAAATGTAATTTCGTTGTTGCCAGTATTGTTCTGTCACTGTGTGTAGCTTTGCTTGATGTCTGTCTGCCCTGTCATTCAGAACACTCACTGCATTAGAGCTCACATCTGTTAAAAAAGGGAAGAACTGTGATCTCACCCCATCGCTATTCTTTTCATGCAAACCAAAACATCATGTAAGCCAGCCTTTTGTATTTCCTAACGTGCTGATCTGTTCAGGTACTGCCATTGCAACTGTAATCAATGCATCCACTGAATAAACACCTGACAAGTGGCAAAAGTTTCTTAGAAGGTAAAATATAAGGCAAAAAAAAACATTAAGGAAGAGTTAACAGAGCTGTGTACTCATAGATTAATCTTACTGGAAATCTCTGTTCCCTGAAAACCGATTTTCCAGCAAATCTTTCTCCTGACATATCTTATGTACCCAGCCACCTAAATCATTCCATATCAACTGTTTATGGATTCAAGAGAAGACTAGTCTTCCTTCTGCAAAAATCTCTTTACATCAAGAATATACATTTCACTGTCCTATCTTTTCTATTTCCAATGCCTCTAAGAAAGCCTTTTTCATCATTTTATTGAACCACAAATATGTTCAAATGCAGAAAAGTTACTATTTAATTCAATCTGCAGCATTGAGACCTGAATGAACGTCACCTGAAGTATGGACTGAGTACATTGCCAGTCTCCCAAAACCACACACTATTACTACATCTTGCAGATTCTGTGTTTGAGTTGAAGCACCAGCACCATGCTGCTGCTGTCTTTTGTACAAGCCTGGAAATAGCTATTCAAACATTTCCAATTCAATTAAAAGATATTCACAATGTTTTGTCTTATTTCCTCACCAGGTTCGTGGAGCTGGTTCCTCAGTACTACTTTAGCAACCTTCCTCCCAGTGAAAGCAAGGATATTCTGCAGGAGGTGATCAATCATTTGTCACCTGCTTCAGCCATGAAGGAGGAACAGAAAACTAATGATGACAAAGAAAATGAACAATTTCCCACTCCCACTGAACAAAGATGTACTATTCAGTGAATTTAGACCGAACCATCATACATCAGACAAATACAAATAAAAGCAGTACATGAAATATCCATCTCCATCTTAACCCAAGAAATCATTTCAAACTTTTGAAATAAATGTATTTAACAGAAGAAACATACAGAAAAAAGCTTTTTCTTCCTTATGTATGTGTTATTTCATAACAAAAATATACAATTTAGTTTTGGTTAAAAACATATTGAGCAGATCTTGACATTTTCTTGTTACACTTTTTTTATTGACTGTTTAATGGTGATACCAATATACCATAAAACAGAATATTTAAAAATATTAATTTCATAGATATTTTTATTTGTACCATCTCCTTGTCTTCTAAATGTACAGAGGAAGCATTTGAGCAGCAAAAAAACATTAATACCACAGCAGCCTTCTGAAAACCCTAAAGTCATAGTTCTGCATGGCTGCTTTATAAAACCCAGTGTTTATAGGAAATCTCAGACTGAGAGATAGTCTTTCAGTTTATCCATAATGGCATGAATTCCATCAGCTGGAACTATCATAACAGTACGCAAGGGTTTCATTGGTACATCATCAAAGGACCATCTGCCACCCAAACAAGTGTCGCTTTCCTCTTGCACAGAGTAGTTGAACTTCAGAAGGGCTTTCTAAACAACAGAAAGAGATGCGTTAGGATCCAATTTTGTCACTGGAATGAAGATAATACATCATCAAAGTAAAAACAATGACCCTATTGATGCACACACTTATTAAGAAGTTATTTTCCTCCCTTTCAGAAGGTCCACCAAAAAAACCTTCAAGAGAATCCACTGTTAAGTGTTTCAAACTATTTGCTTTCCACAGGATTTATATCATTCATACTAAACTCTAAAATGATTGCTATTATTATAGTTTGGTATCAGAAAAAAGACCTAAGGGGCAGAGAGAAAGCCCCTTTATTATGCTTACTCTGCCTACTTTTAGGTGGTTTTAATATAACATCTTATTCCCTATTATCACATTAAGAAATGCTGACCCTTAGAAGCTTTTGTGCCAACTAGCAGGTATCCTTGACCAGTAACAGGAATATCAGGCCTTTAAACAGACCTTCAGACCCAGAACACAAACAAATCAGTAGCTGGGTAATTTTGAGCCTTAGGAGATCAGCCAAAAGCCAGATAAAAGGAACAGGGAGAGAGTGAACATGGAGTAGAGCCTTCCCTAAAGATGATAGCTTGGTGTGGGTAACAGAGAAGGTCTGTAGCACCGAACAGGCTCTGCTATTTTCATGGCCTACTCTAAAACTGCTCCTAAAATTAATGTGATCTGTAAGAATATGTGGTACAGTAATCCCCTCTTTCACACTGCCACTAGAAATGAAGCATTAAGGGAATGGGCACTGACATGAATCCTGAGTGGAATTTCGAAAGCTCTTGTAAAGCCTGTAGACGGCTGGAGCCACCAAAAGACATATTATAAATGACGATGCTTCAAATAGGTAGGTGTCCATAATGTGCATTATTTCTTTCCAGTGATACATACTGCATACAGATCTAACAGTCCTTTTTTATTAGCTTTCCCAGGCAAAACGCCTGATGGAGAAGAAAAACTTATCTAACAAATGTTTGTAGTTCTCACACAAGTCAGATTAAGAAGCATGAGCTGAATTCCTAATTAGAAGAACTTATCTAACCTCTTCCCTTGCGGGGTAAGTTAAGCTCCAGTCTCCTTTTAGGTTTGCTATTTCCCAACAGTATCTCAAGGTTGTAAATTTGATTTTGGAAAACCCATCACGTTAATGGAGTGGCTTTGCTCAACAACAAACAATTTGAGCAATGGAGGCCCTAAACCTTTAATCAATTCCAGTCTGGTTATAGCAGAGCTTTTCTTCTGCTCCCTCAATAATGTTTTCAAGAACAGAATAAAGCACAGGGAACTGACAAGTGCAAAAAGGCTTCTCTCTGGTTTATATGGCTCCAAGTGTCTGCCTGACTGCACTTAATACTATTTTATTGCAATCTAATTAACATTATGCATGATCAGGGAGGATATACACACCAACACTAATATAACACATAAACATTATAAAGTCCAGAGAGCAAATTAATCTACTATCCTCCATAACATTCAAAATGAATTTGTTAAAAACACTAGAAAGGCTGTTAAAAAGAAAAGCATGTTCAGTTTGTGTCTACCCATTTGAGCTGAAAATTACTGCAGTTTAGATAAAAGTCTTTAAAATACCATCAAAATAACAAAACAGATAAATACAAAACAGGCCTCCAGGAACATAAGCCATAAGGACAAACGGGCATCACAGGCTTCTCCCCTTTTAGTTCTTCAATAACATGTTTACAGAGTTCAAGTCCAGTTGATAAAGATGCTGGGGCAGGAAAACAGAAAGCAAACCCAGAACTTGTTACTGCATAGAGGCTACATCAGTATTCCCTATAGCTAACAAGGAATTCATCCACTTCCATTTTTCTTCTTCCCAAGAAATAAAATTACAGCCATATCATAGCCTCCACCAGAGAATGCCGTGAATGATCACACAGAGGAAGCTTTGCCATTAAGCATGATGCATGTGCAAGTACTTTATCCTGTAGGCACTGCCAGAAATGAGAAACAAGTCTCTTGACAAAGCAGCAATATTGTAGAATAATATTTTTAGTTCCAGAATCAAGAACAATGAAAAACTCTGTGCATTTCAAGGTACATTTTTGATTTCATTTCCTGCATCTTCCCCTCTCCTGATCTGACTTGGGACCAGTAGAATTGTGTAGACACGTTGCCTTAGGAAATAGGAAGTAATATTTTCATCTCAGTATTTTAGTACTTTTTATTAATATATTTGTCCTGAGTAGGATAGAGACAGGAAAGGAAGGTGACAGCTGCTTCTTCAGAGATTCAGCAGTTTGTATTCTGAACATTTTCTGAAGGTAACTGGTATCCAAAAGAGAACAGATAAATCATCTTTCCACAGCAAAGAAAGTTGGGGCTGTTCAGCCTGGAGAAGAGAAGGCTGCGTGGAGACCCCATAGCAGCCTTCCAGTATCTGATGGGAACTACAAGGATGCTGGGGAGGGACTCTTCATTAGGGACTGTAGTGATAGGACAAGGGGTAACGGGTTAAAACTGAAACAGGGGAAGTTTAGATTGGATATAAGGAAGAAGTTCTTTACTGTTAGGGTGGTGAGGCACTGGAATGGGTTGCCCAGGGAAGTTGTGAATGCTCCATCCCTGGTGGTGTTTAAAGCCAGGCTGGACGAAGCCTTGGGTGATATGGTTTAGTGTGAGGTGTCCCTGCCCATGGCAGGGGGTTGGAACTGGATGATCTTAAGGTCCTTTCTGATCCAAACCATTCTATGATAGTGATAAGAACACAAATGCAGAGCTTTGCATCTATTCAGTTGCTTAGGAAAAGATCTCAAGAGAAATGTGTTTAACTGCATTACCAAAAAAAAAAAGCCTCAACAGCTGCTTTTTTTCTGACACAGGACTAACTATGCAGGGGCAAGCAAAAGAGATCTGTGTATTTAAGTATTACCATGCAGTGCAGATGCTGATGGAGACTCTAACAACAGAAATCCCCTGTATTTTTTCCAATCTTTGCTCTTCTAAGCGCTTGAAGCTGTGACACATGATTAAGTTAGAGAACCCTGGCAAGCTACTACCTGTTGTTTGAGCTGCCACTCTCAAACACTTGTGTTGTAAACCACATTAGCTTGAATCCCACTGACAGATACTCAGCTAACCTGCATTTCCTGCAATTCACAAACCCAGTCTTCTCTGTTCAGCTGACACAGCAGTTTAACATGTCTTTCGAATTTTTATTATTCAGATTAAAGAAGACAACGGCAGCTCCCCCCATAAAAGGGATTTCAGACTTCTGTAAACTCAAAAAGCCTGAGACATGCTGCTAAATTCAATATCCAGGTTTATTACCATTTGTTCATTCTAAAAATGTGGATATTCCATTCACAGTGTTTCAACAAGTCTGACTGTTACTACATTCAATTCAATCTCCTCAGCACTGCTATATGTGTAAAGAGAGATGAAGTTTCTTAATTCTTCAAGGCCAAGACACTGGCCTCAAACCACAGTAAAACCTGATCTCTCCCCTGAAATCCCTGCTTATTCCAGGCATTCTCTGAAATTTTCCATTATCCTCATGGCACTGGAGACTCTATCATGTAGGAACACTGCCTGTGCCACACCATCCCATAGTCAGGTTCATTGTGACCTGATACAAGTAACATATTAGTAAATTCATGCCAATATAGAGGATCAATTTAATCATTTGGACTTATGGATGTCATACCTCTCCCTCATTCTCTAAATACAAAGGTGCTGGGCTCAATACAGAAAAGTAAGTTGCCTGCCCATCTCTCAACACTGCTCTAAAAAAAGATGGATCTAATTGAAACAATATATGAACATACCTTTAAAAATCCTTCCCTGAATTATAAAGGGAAACACCTTTTTTGCTGACACGTAAAAAGCAAATAACCATTTTAAATTAAAAGAATCACGTTACCTCATAAAAGAATTCTTCCTCTGCATTTGCAAACATTAATTCCTCCTTCTGCTGATGTCTCCCTCCCTTCTTCTTAGAATTGCTCTTTGTGGCTTCTGTAAAGGTCTTGCCGATAAGGAGATAGTAGTGGCACTTTCCACATGGTTTGTTTGTTCTCTGTGCCTCACTCAACTCCTTCCTAAAGACAAATAAATGTTTACACATACTATTTAAAAATACATCTACATACACAATTCATACCCTCAACAGGAGTGTAACCAAACCTTACAGTGCATCAGAAGGTACATCACACTGTCACTTCATGAGGAACTGCAACTGAAGAGCCAGAAAATACTCTTGCCCACCCTTGTGTTAAACATGTCACCACTGCAACACTCCAACCCCTGTAAGACAGAGGCTGAGATCTGAATTTGAGTTGTGACAAGCGTTGTACTAGCGGTAAACCTCAAAGCTAAGCTTCAAGCACCTAATTTATTTCTCTAAAAACCTTCCTGACCAACCCTATCTACACGTTTTCTTTCACTATCAGTGTGTTAATTCCTTAAAGGTCTCATTATCAGTATGCTATAAGAAATTCTCAGTTTTAAGTTTTCCTAGATCAATGGGAAAACAATCTGCAAGACAAACTACAACATACACACAGCTATTTCTGCAGCAGAACAGCACACATTTTTCAACGATTTCCTGTGTCTTAAAGAGTTTGAAAAGCCTAAAGATATAAATAATTTTAAGAAATTAACTAAAGACCTTACATGAGATGAAAATACTTGTGTTCGTGCATTATTTATAGCTATACTATCACCTATCTTAACATAGTTCTACATACATAGATTGCTGAAAAAATATGAAGAAATCATGTCAAAACAACCCCAAACTTACTGAAGCTGCTGGTGCATGGGTAGAGCAATCTGTGGTGGTACATTAATGAATCTTTCACTCAGTATAAGACCCACAGGCTTAGTACTATCATTCAGGAGCTTATTCAGTTGTTCAACTACATGCTGTTCACAGCTCTTCTCACACCGACTTAGAACCAGCTCTTTGATTTGTTCAACACACTGTGTATCCTGAAAGAAAGACACATGTATCTTTATATACTAAAAGGTATATTTTCCTTACATTATACAACAACTATTAACACAAAGAAACTTGAATGTGAACTTCCAGGGAATACTCTACAGACCTACTGGTGATTTCTTTAAGCACTCTGTACAAGTTCTCTGGAATTATTTACCAACCCTGAAGCTGAGGGCACACAAAGGTTCTCAACTGACGGGAGAGCAGTGAGGAGTTGCAACACCAGTATACTCACCAGCAAAATTCAAGCTGCAAAAGATGACAGTGAAGAAACACAAGAGGCTGACAGCTTAGTTACGCTGGGCCTAGGGTAAGACCTAGTTTTAACTCTCTATTCCACTCCTGGCCTTATGTTTGACCTTGAGCAATGAAAGCAAGCTATGTGATGTGCAACTTTTATGACCACAGTCCTCCATGGTGGAAATCAAAATCCTGATCCAGCTGCCTAGGCTTGTTATACAAGGCAGAAAAGCAAGACACAGTCTCATTACTGTCTAGATGTCAATGAGGAATAACTAACCATAACATACCTTCCTTTCTGTTAAGTTTAAGCAGCTAATGAAACCAAAGACTTCATCATCATCTTCATCATCATCACTGTCTTCTTGGACTTCTGCTTGCTGTTTAATAATAGAAACAGAATGTCAATATGAGTTGTTGCTATTTCTACTCTGCAGCAAAAAATGGCTTTCTTTCCAAAAGATGCTCAGCAGATGAGAACCATCCACATAATCTCTACAAACACACAACCTACACATTCTGGTTACAGTCATTGAGCCTGTGTACTTAGAGCCAGCTCTATAGACAGCCAGTTCATGTATCTTCCACAGCAGGATTTTTGGAAAGGCACTAAAATTTGATAGCTCACATTTAACAAGAGGCAACTTGGTACAAAGCACGGCAATATCTTAAGCAAAACCAATTTCCTTCAGTTTCTAACATAGGGAATTAAACCTGCAAAGTCATAAAACCCACAGAGCAACAGGGCTTTGACAGTGAAACAAAAAGCTCCACAAAACTCTGCTGTGAAAAAGCTGGGGAAAGAACTGGGGGTCATACAGTTGTAATGGAAGTGGGTGGAAAAGTGTAATGAATGTGGGTGGAAAAACCACTGGCACAGGACAAAAAGGGAATGTACAGCAATGACACCAAGCAACACAGTACAACAGCACCACTGTGCCACAGGGGTTGTCTGTCTGGGTTTGAAAGCAACGTGGCCTTCACATCTTGAGCCCTGTACAGTACTGAACAGCTTCCTTAGACAGGAATAACTCAGGAGCCCTGCAGAGTGCTCCACTGCCTTAGCAGAACCTGACCAGGACTCATTTTGGAATCCTTTCCTATATCCAGAGAATTCTGCGCAAAAGGAAATGGCATGCAGGATATTTCTTGTCTATATCTCTATACATCCTGAAATCACAAGGTCCTATTTCTTATGGAGATGGCCACAAACTTCTCCATAACATTGTCAGCATTATTATTCTACTACACCAAAATTCAGAGGAAAAAGTGAAAAGGCTTCCACATGTAAAAAAGAAACCAGCCAAAATAATAAATCAAATTCCTTGTTTGGTTGAAAGTAGGCATGGAAAATTTCAGCTCCTAGAGGAGAATTCCTCTCAAAGCTAAAAAGAAAGCAAGCATACAAGGTACAGATCCAGAGTCCCCTTCTGAATGTTTGTTGTGTCATTTCAACATAACAAGTATAGTACTCCATTTACAAACTCTTTCTTACCTTGATAATACTTCCAATATGATTCTGTTGTATTAATATATCAGTTAATTCAGCAGTGTTAACAGGGGCTTTTAGAAACAACTGGAAAACAGGAAACAAGTATTAACAAGTTTTAGGTACTATGATACATCATGGACCACTCTAGAAATTCAAGTCAGCAATTTCTCTAAGTAGAAATATTCCATTCCACTTTTAATTTCCATTTAGTGATATAATACTTCAATACAATACTGTAAAGACTAAAAATCAGCTTCTTGAAGCTCCTCAACCCTCCATACACTAGCATTTTGCATACCTGCTATCCTTTGAATTTGCTATGATCTGAATGCTGGCTGAGCAACAGAAACAGTCAAAAGAAGACTGGAAGCTGCCACATGAAGCAGACACATTACTTGTTTGTCTCTTTTTAAGGGCTGTCATCTACAGGAAGATCTCCAAGAAGCTGATTAACACTGAACAAGGTTTTCTGAGCAGCAAGCAACACAGTGAAGATGGAAAGATTATACACACTATGGAATAACAGCCCTACAGCTCATTGGGTAAATTTCTTGTAACTGTGGTATAGGAGACACGTGTTGACTATGGCTGTAATTCAATCTTCATCAGCTGAAGTACAGTAAAACTATGACACAAAACAGATTATGTGAACCGGTAGCTTTGCATAACTCTTTAGATATTATTTATCAATGGCTATATCAACCAAGCTAACAAGAAGTCAAAGTACCTGTTGTAGTAACTTTCTTATCCCATTATAGTCATTGTCTGATATGGAATGTGCCTCAAATTCAATATTCACTTCCTGTGAAGAGGTAAAATAACAGAATATCAAACATACTTGGCAAGAAGTTATATCAAAACAAAGCTAAACTATAACAAACCTGAAAAGAAGTATTAGTCAACATCAGAAATAGAACTTACTTCCATCTTTGAGTAATCTCAGCACCAGCTGGGGATTACCATTTCTTCTGTAATCTTTAGAGAGCATCCGTGAAAGTAACTTCTTAAACTAACTTACAAACTGTGTTGTGAACGAGCCTTTAACACTCAGTTCCTGCAATGTGGTTCACACAATTATGCTGACTGTAGCCACTTAAGACTTACTGTAGAGGCTTGATCCAGGCAGTTAAACTCTTCAAACTGCGGGATCGGAGTGTAATGCCTTGGCTAAAGATGAAAATTGCTGCACGTATTTAGGCAACTGCATCCAAAATGATGCTTCTGCTGTTTCCTCAAATCCTAATGGAAGTCTGCTCAGTAGCTGCATGATGAGACCCAAGCACAGCAAAATCAGAATGTGAACTCCTGCTTCTCCTTCCAGAACAAATGCTGTGCCTACAAAACATTTATACTGGTGTTCTGTACTAACAGTACTGCCTGCCAAGGTGGCTCTGCCTACCTGGTCTTCTGAGAACCACTGCTCAAGATGATCCAAATTTTGCCTTAGAGCTGGCAGTTAGTATTCCACTTTCTGACCAATCTAGACAACTGAACCTTACTTTTACCACCAGTTCAGACTCATAACTCTCTTCAACCCCATATCGTGGCCACGGTCTTTATTGTCCACTGGGAGAACAGCTTTAAAGCCCTGTTTATAATGTAGAAAACAAGTATATAGCCACCTGGGAGGGAGTAATAAAAATCAGGGGAGATGTTTGGATATTCTTCCATGGTCTAGCAAAGCAAGAACACTCTATAGAAGTAACTGAGAGCACATGATTTATAAATGCAAGAAAACAGCTTATATCTTTGGCATACGCAGCATTCAGTCCTAGCACCCAGGAACTTTCCAAGTACTTTAAAATCCAAGGATCCCACTGAATGATTAAGCCAGTAAATTCTGAACGAAACACAGCTTACAGTGGTTCTGAATACTGTGCAAATCATAGCCATAAAATCGATATAAACCATGGGAGCAATAGATTTGCTAATACTGGTCTTGCTTCGTGGCTTTTTCCACTACCCCAAATAATAGCTTGGTATGACAGAGTTTACAAACCCTCCATCTTTCATCTATTAAAAAACAAAACAGGCAAATAAAGACCCATCATATATTTTGGTTTGTTCAGTCTTGCTGCTGTGTGCTTATTTTCTTCCCTTCTGTTGCATCCAAAGCAAGAGCCTGCAAAGCAAACAGTAACATGCAACAACACTCGGCTACGTACAACACAGCAGTGAGCAAAGATCTATCTCAACAACCAAGCCCTGCCTCGCAATCATACTGCTGTCAGATTGGCAACAGAACCACATGTCCCCTTTAATGATGAGAACATCTGCATAAAAGAAGAGATTTTCCTTTTTCCACATGACGTGGGAAGTGGTGCAGGGAAAGGCTAATATGGCAAAAATAAAAAGGCTGAGAATTAAGGAGAAACAAACGGCCTTTAACTATATGACTTTACAAATCTCTGAGTTTCTACAGCTACAAATGTCCAGTACATTAATACAGTTTGGAGCCATGTAGTCTAGGCCACGCTTTGCTGAGAAACGTTGGACTACATGATCCCTGAGTTCTCTTCCAAGCTGGTATTCTGTGATTCTGTGAATATTAGCAATGCACACCTTAATGCCTTACACAAGAATCTAGGAAAACCCAATATACCTTCAGATATCTTCCCTGTGAGGGTGCTGAGGCGCCGGCACAGGGTGCCCAGAGAAGCTGTGGCTGCCCCATCCCTGGCAGTGTTCAAGGCCAGGTTGGACACAGGGGCTTGGAGCAAGCTGCTCTAGTGGAAGGTGTCCCTGCCCGTGGCAGCTGTTGGAACTGGAGGAGCTTTAAGGTCCCTTCCAACCCAAACCATTCTATGATTCTATCAAGACTTCCAAACTGAAACATGTAATAGTACTACAGCATCCTCAAACATTGGACCACTAAGTTAAAATAAGCATTATACTGCGAATTTCTCCAGCATACAAACAATTGCAAACAAAACACAGTCGTGCATACCAGTGCAGGACACTCAGAACCCCCCTCAAACCCCATGACTGAAGACTCAAGAAACCCTGTCCGCAAACACAATGAAAACCACTGTCCTACCTACCTTACACAGGAACACTGTGCACTTAAAGGAAAAAAAAGGGGCGGGGGGGATATTATTATTGCCATTAGCTTTAATTTCACAGTATTTACACACTAATGCAACATCGTTTACGTGTTTATAAACACCGAACAGTACACACAGTACCAGCAGTGGTAGTCAGCATCTTCATAAACAAGTTAGTACCCGTTTAAAGCGGCACGTTTATAGCCCACAGTAAATGTTCTTTTCCATCAGGGTAGTTTGACTGATTAACACGATTACCTCTCACTTTTTATCACGAGATAGTTTTTTACAAAGGCAGGGCTTGCTTTGTTGATCTACTAACAAAAGCTAAGGCTTCAGCTAAGAAAAGGGAAGCCCATGGACTCAAAGTGAAACCCTAGGGAAAACAAGTTAGCAAAACACTGAAGTTGGAATGTACTCAGTTAAAACAATCGATAATGCTACCATAGAATCACTGAATCCCAGACTGGTTTGTGTTGGAAGGGACCTTAAAGCTCATCCAGCTCCAACCCCTGCCACGGGCAGGGACACCTTCCACTAGAGCAGCTTGCTCCAAGCCCCTGTGCCCAACCTGGCCTTGAACACTGCCAGGGATGGGGCAGCCACAGCTTCTCCATTGACTCTTTTTGAGCCTTGTGAAAAATCAGAGATTGCTTTACCACCCGAACATCTTAATAAGAATTTACAGTCAGCGCGCATCTCCTCGTAGAAAAAAAGAGACTCCTCCCTCAGTGTCATGCTCCACAGCTAAGTAATGCATTTTCCCGCATGTCCGAAAGAGAGCTCAGAAAAAAAGACGTTAAAATCCTATTTCCGTGAATTCTGATGCTTTTTATTCTCCTTCCCCTTATTTTTCTCTTTCCTTCCTCCCCTTCCCCTTCCACACAAAGGAAACCGGAGCAAACCCTCTGCGGAACACTCGGAAGGGCCCAGCCTAGGCTTAAGCACAGGAACCCACGGCCCCACGCTGGGCCCCGACCCACGACCGCCTCGAACGGGGTTTACAAAGGGGAACCCCCCCCCTTCGCCGGCACCTCCGCCACCACAGCCGCTTGTTTGTTCTCTTCAGCGGCCGGCTGAGGGGCAGCCGTGAGGGGAGGGCCCTGCTCCCCCCCCCCGCTCACCTCATCGATCGCCTCCTCCTCTTCTTCCTCCTCCGAGCCCGACTCGCTCGACTCCGGCTCAGACTCGGACTCGGAGCCGCTCTCCTCGGCTGGGGGCTGCGGCTGGGCCCGCCGCTTGGCCGGCGTGGCCATGTCACCGCGGCGCGCAGGCGCTCGGTGCCCGGAAGGCCGCGGCGGAGGCAGGCGCGGGGAGGCCCGGCTGCCGGCGCTGTGCGGCCCTCAGGGCCCTGGTGGGGCCGGGCCGGGCCGGGCCGGAGCAGCGCGGGGTGGGGGCAGTCTCCGGCACAGCTCTGCCGGCGGGAGGTGGGGTACGTCCGCAGGGAAAGGCCGTGGGGAGCTGGGAACGGGTCTGAGGCTTGCGAAGGGTGTTTGGGGCGCGGGGGAAGGGGGGTCCCGTGTCGCCCCTCTCCTAACCCTAACCTGGTGTAGGTGTGCGTCAAGTGTTGCAGCTCCCTGCCTGGCTGGAGCATCTGTCCTCGGTACATTAAACCCATTCCCCTTGGCCTGTACCTACATCCCTTGTCCCAAGCCCCTCTCCAGCTTTCCTGCAGCCCCTTCAGGCACTGGAGCTGCTCTCAGGTCTCCCCTTCAGGAGCCTTCTCTTCTCCAGGCTGACCCAGCCCAGCTCTCTCAGCCTGTCAGTCCATATTTGAGCTTTAACTTCTTCGCTGTTTGAGTGCATATGGGCATGGTTTTGGTTTGAAGATGTGCTTTGTCCCTGTTAGGGATGTTGTCAGCCTTCTCACTGCCTGGTGTCACTTTGGCTCGATCCCCAGTGATGTGTCTGCAGTGGTGGGGCACACTTGCTGAGAAAGTGGTGGGTCTGAGGACCATTGGAAATGGGTTTATTCTACCCGTTTTGATTTGGTCACATCTGTCACCAAATTTGTGTGAACCTTGTATGTGGAAAGGACAGAACAGTCTGGGAGGTTTATGGCTTGTAATAAGTGATTTTTTTCAGCAGTAAAACCAAAAGCAGCCACAGAATACTTGCAGATTAAAATACCTATTATTTGGGAATGCGCAAACTTAATGGATTCCCTGGGTCAGATCTGTCTTCTCTTGGACATTGCAGCCCAAGCCGAGTCTGTTTTGCCCATGCTGGTTTATTGGTGAGTGATCTCTCCCTGTCATTATCCCACGCCACGAGTCTTTCCCCTGTCCAGCTGAGGAAGGGAGTCTATAGGAAAGTAACAAGATAATTCAGGTAAATGGGCAGTTGGTGGGTTTCTGTTTGTATTATTGCAGTTGTTTGCTTTGATGCTTGGTTTATTTGCTTATGTGTCCTTACAGGCTTTGATTTCAGCACCAAAGGCAGCTTTTAAGGAACTGAGAACAATCATTTTCCATGTAATGGCAGAGTATGTATTTTTCAGGCTTATTTCCTGTAGTTATGTAAGAGAAGGCATATGAATACTGTATATATGATACTCCGATGTATAAATGGGTGTACATATACAAATGTACATTTGCGGTTTTTAAACACTGCCCTGCGTGTGTTTTCCCCTTTGAAAAGGGGGAGAGCCAAATGCATCAAGTGAAATCCCTTGATACATAACCCCTTGCGTACTTATTATGATGAGCATAAGGTGAAAACTAGCATGAAATGACTGAACAGAGTAAGTTTTTACAGATAGGAGCTTATTAGGTTGCTGCTCATGGCTGCATTGTAGGGGTTATTAATTCTTTTACAATGTATTCTCCTTGATGACTTTCATTACAGTTTCTCCCTTAAGCAATATTATCTAAAGGCAGCATGTTATTTGTTGGTCTTATCTGGGTGGATATTCCTGCCCAGAGAATGTACGTTAACTGCTGACTCATTGTGAAGAGAGCAGTGCAGCTGTTAGCAGCCCAGTTTCTTAGGAGCTGAGCTATTAAAGTCATTGTTCAGTAGAAAGTCCTCTAGATCTAATTTAGATAATTTCCATTATTGTATTTCAGAGTTCTGCTGCAATTATTTGGTAAACAATGAAGGTTCTGTTGCTGAAGGATCCCAAAGACAAAGAGTCGGGACCAGATCCCTATATTCAAGTGAGTAGACTTTAGGAAAAGTAAATGTGTCACTTCACTGTTATCATGCGTTCAGCAAGATGGATGGATTTAACTGTTTCAAATGGAAAACATGCTTAATCGAAATGAGGAGTTTGTGCCTGAAATGATATTTCATAGGAAAAATAATCAAAATGTATGTTTAAATAATCAAAATGTATGTTTAAATAATCAAAATGTATGTTTCAATCATGCCAAGGAAAAAAGTATGCTATAAAATTTGCTGTTACTGAAAAGATATCTTAGTTATAGGGCATGCACAATGAATTCAGTTTTAAAGTTCTCAGCAAAGCACTGATATTAAACCAATCTAATGAATTAATATTGGTTATGTTCATATGGATAGAATTAAGAATACACAATGTTAGTAATCTTACTGGGAATGTAATGTGAAAAAGAGGTTACCTGTTGCTGTGTTTCTTTGTGCTATTGCCTTTAGTCATGGGAGTAAGTCTTACTTGGAAGACTTAAAAGCATTTCAGGGAGGTACAGGAATATTTGCAGGACTGAGTGATCATTTGGCACTTAGGGACTTCAGACTTACATATGTAGTACGTAACTCTGTGCTGTAACTATTCAGTAGGAGGCCTCAGGTCCACAGCTGTTTGTATAGTATTCTGTTGCAGTACTGAATAACTAGCAAAACCAACCTCGAGTCACTAGTAAAAGCAAATAAGGTGCCTTTGTATCTTATTTTAGTAAAAAGGTATATTTGTGCTTAATCAGTTCTTTGAAAAAGAAAAAAAAAACTACTGTTTGAAATCTATTTTAAAAGCTGTAAACCTTCTTTTGATAGGCATTAGGATTATACAGATTTGAAGCCACTTTGATACCAGTTTTGTCATTTGAATTCCTATCTCTTGAAAGCTTATTTGAAAAGGTAAGTTTCAAATTGTTTCATTTGTCTTATTTTCTACAGGGTTTGGTCATGGTTACCAAGATACTGTGTCTTATTTTGATCTGGTAGTGCCCTTTGTGGTAGCTCTTTTTGTGCTTCTACAAACACAGTTGTAAAAACCATAATATTGTATACAACACAAGACATTATTGTAGACAACATCAAATATGCTGCTCATACTTGTTAAAGAATTATGCTGGCCAGATAGAATTCATGTTTAGCTTCATGGACCATGGATCACCACAGGCTTTGGGGCAGTTTGTCAGAATAAAAGATTAGAAGACGCTAGTGACAACTAAAGGTTACCTGAGGTTTGCCCTTACATTGTGCTGAAATTGTGCCCTGCACCTCCTAGTTACATGCAATAAAATTGCATAGTGGGTGTTCTCTTTCTGTTGGTTCTTCAGTGTATGTGTTTCATTTTAAAATGAGGATGGTGAGGGGCTGGAGCAGCCTACTCTAATGGAAGGTGTCCATGCCTGTGGCAGGGGTTGGAACTGGTTGAGCTTTAAGGTCCCTTCCAACACAAACCAGCCCAAGCCCCGTCCAGTCTGGCCTTGAACACTGCCAGCAATGGAGCATTTACACTTCCCTGGGCACCCTGTGCCAGTGCCTCAGCACCCTCACAGTAAAGAACTTCTTCCTTATCTCTAACCTGAACTTCCCCTGTTTCGCTTTAAACCCATCACCCCTTGTCCTGTCACTACAGTCCCTGATGAAAAGTACTGTCATATTTGCCCATTTCAGGCATTTATTGAAGCTGTTCTGTTCTTCACAAGATTATAAAAAATTGATCAACTAGATTTTTTAAATTTATTTACTCATTTATTTCTTAAATTTACTGTTTTTAAGTAGCTTTCTCATCCAGAATGCTATGGAGGCCTAATTTTTACTAGTCCAAGAGCATTAGAGGCCATCAAGATATGTTTAAAAGAGAAGAGTAAAAATGAAGGTAAGCACATGTCTGTATTCCTTGGTCTTTCTGTTTCAGTACTTTCTGAAGTTTGTAATTTTATTTCACCCACAAGTAGGTGTCACAGTATACCTATATTAAAAAGCTGTTTCACAGTTCTTTCGGCATCATAAAGACCTCATGCTCAATTCAGCTTTTAAGGGTTGGGTTTTCTGCCCTTGTGCTGCTGTTAAAAATGAAAGGAAAGAGCTTTTGGTACAAACCACTCATTACTGTGAGCTTTTCCAGTTGTGCTTGTCTCATGTATAAGGAATACCTTGCTGCAGTCCCTAGTTTTTCTTGCTGACTACTTTCCTCCCTGAAAGAGAAGAACATGTTCAGTGCTCCTTCTATGCCTATATAATTCACATGAAGTCTTACAGAAACAGACATTTCTGTCTTGAATATAACATTTCTCAAGTGAATAAAGTATCAGCTAAAAAAGCAGTGAAGATACATTGAAACATAAAAGCCAACAGATTGGTTGTAAGAATCCTGCAGAGTGCTAAATAGAAATTACCGTACCAGTGATCTATCAAATCCTTGTAAACTCTTCTAAATTCTTATGCTAAGTGATAACTTCTGGCCTTGAGTTTCTATGTACACTTAAATTGTTTTCTTACTTCATCTGCTCCGTATTTGGGCTGTAGGCATATGCAGTAAGGTTATGCTCACACGTAAGCAGTAAATACACTGAGACTGTTAGCTTGCTTTAGCATTTTCAGCAGCAGGATTTTTGGTCAGATATATCTAGAGTTCATCCCTAATCTTGATTAGGACTTTTAGGAGCTGCTGAAATACCTATTTTAATCAGTAAAATTAGGCTTTAGTTCCTATTTGGGTTCCTTTCAAAGTTACTTTGAATAAATCCTTCGATTTTTCTTTCTATCGAATAGTTTCCTCTAATTGCTTATTTTACTGTTGTAGTTTGTTTTTTCCTGCAAGAACACTGGAAAGGAACACAATGTCCTGTGCTGCACTGTTTTAGAGCAAGATAGTAAAAGGCTTATGTCCTGGGTTCAGCAGTAGCAGTCATGTTTTTTCCTTTGTGTTAACTGGTGCAGTGCTGTGTTTTGACTTCTAGCTTGAGAACAGTGTTGGTGAAGCCGATGTTTTCGGGTGTTGCTAAGTGATGTTTACCCTGACCAAGGACTCTGTGAGGCTCATGCTCTGCCAGGGAGGAGGGGAGGCTGTGAGGAAGCAGAGACGGGGCGCCTGACCCGGGCTAGCCGGGGAGGTATTCCATACCACAGCACGTCATGGCCGGGGTGGGGGG